ACAGCCTTGGAAGCATCTGGCCATTTAGATAAACGAGGATGCCTGAGGCTTCAAGGACAAAGATCTAAAGACCCCTGGAGAAATGCAGGTGTAGATAATTTTCTGTGATCATTGCAAAACCTGCCCCCCCCCCTTTTTTTTTTTAGTCACATTGTTTAGCGTATCCACTGTAGCCTGTGATCATTGCAAACCCGGAAACCCGCTTCCTGCCACCATTGAAATGCCTGCTTCTTTTGCATAGTTTAAGGTATATAACTTGCTTGATTTTCATTGGGTTTTTGAAGACATTTGGAGGTAGCAAGACCTCCTCTTTCCTCTTGTGCCACACTGGCAGAAATAAGAGTTTCTTGAATTCACCTGGGCTCTGTCTTTGACTGAAACCGTGCCGGGCGTTCCCAGACCCTGGTTTCCAGCGTCACTCACAATTGTGACGTGCGAGTCCTCGGGGCAGCTGCTGTGTCCATTCATCATTGAGGGTCTCCCTCTTTTTTGCTGCACTTCTGTTTTGCCAAGAAGGATGTCTTTTTCAGGATTGAAGATGGGATCAACTCAACACAACTCAACCCACTGCCCTCGAGCTGATGCCAGCCCATGGCACAGAGGACCACGGCGCCTGTGAGTTCCTACAGGAGGAGGAACTCCTGTCTTTCTCCCTTGGGATGACCGGTGCCTTCAAACTGCTGTCTTCACGATGAGCAGCCTCAGCTTGTAACCACGACACCACCGGGACTCCCAAGGGTGGGATGCACCATCCTTCATCCTGTCACAGCTCTGGTTTAAGGGGAATCTCCCTGGAGCGTGGCCTGTAACAACCTCTTATTTTCCAAGAGGTAAAAGGAGAGCAAATCAAGGGGAGATTGGTTGGAGAGCCCCACTACCACAAATCAAGAGCTCAGAATGGAGTGTATCCTTTGGGCCGGCAATGAGGAACTCCTAGACCCAAGGTGGATGTCAAGACCCATGGAGATCTCTAACCATGCAGGTGCCAGAAGAGGACAAGGAAGGGCTCGTCCTCAGAGTTGATAGGGTGAAGCCTTCTCCTAGAGCCAGCACCTGAGTTTGGAGCCCTGGTGCTGCTGGGATTCAACTCCAAAGCCAGGGCCAGCATCACCACCCAGACGGAACAGAACCCAGCAGCCATCAGGAGGATGCCCACCCCTGGCAACCGGATGTGTTACAGAGTAGGACTTGAATCCCACAGGGTGCTCTTGGCTGGTGGCTGTGGCGGGAGTAGATCACCAGGCCTTTCTTCTGTGGCCCAGCTGGATGGGTTTAAACCGCCAACCTTTCAGCCAGTTGAGAGTTAGCCATTTGTTCAGCCCCGGCCAGCACCTGCTACATCACTATAGCCACCACCAATTGGACATCACATGTCCATTTTCACCAGAGGGAGGGCCAGCAGCCACGCCGAGGGAGAGGAGGCCCGGCCTAGAGTGAATTCTGGGAGCTTATGGAAGGAGAAGGGGCCCCTGGTTTCCTCATCACCCACCTCCACCTGGCTTACATGGGTCTCTGACACTCAGCTTCCTCCTCTAGACCCAGCGTTAAGTGGGACGCTGAATAAGAGAAGCAGCAGCATACTAAGCACACAGGAAGTGCCCAATCAACACAACCCCCACCCCCACCTTCGCTGCTGTGTAGCCACACCCCACTGGACGGGTTGTGCGCTGTCCCCTGCCCCAAAGTCCACAGGTTCCCCTAAGTGCCTACCCGTGTCCTCACCTCGGTCACAATGGAGGAGCCGGGCGAGTCGTACACCCAGCCGTGCCCGCAGGGCCCCAGGGGCAGGTGGCTGCTGTTGGTGGCCAGGCCGGCCAGCGGGTCCACGCAGCCGAGGGCGCTTTGATTCCAGTCCACCTCATACCTGCGGCACTGGCGAGTGAAGGCATCGCCCTCGGCCCCCAGGCCGGGCACGGTGTAGTTCAGCTCCTCGTCCCGGCTCCAGCCACACCGCTGGCTGAGCTCGGCCACCCCGGGGTTCCGGCAGCGGTGGTCCGGGGTGAAGCCCAGGAAGACGATGCCCACGTAGATGGGGGCGAAGGCAGCAGAGAGCAGGCATAGTGTCAGGAAGGCTTGCTTCTGGAACCAGCCGAAGCCCCCGACCTGCTCTAGAACGTCGTCCACCGTGGGCATGGTGGTGGCAAAGGCCACATCCCTGGTCGGTCCACCGAGAGCCCCGTGGGCAGGTTCAATGATTTATCGCAAGTGGGGTGGCTTGAAATCAAACCACCGCACAAGCATGCGTTCTCTGAAGCGTGGCCAGCTAGCAAGACTTGTTTACCCGGGGTGCTGGGGTCAGGGCAAGGGTGAGAGCCAGAGGGTGGCCCACTGACTTGTTTGCTTAATTGGGAGAAAGGTTAACCAGGACGAGTCTCCAGAGGGGCAGCCTGGGTCAGAGAAAGCCCGAAAGCGTGCTGAAACCCACCGCTCAAGCCTGGCCCCCCGGCCACTGTGCACCCCACCTCCACTCGTCTTTGGGGGGGGCGGTGTCCATGAAGCACTTGGGGAAATTGGCATGAACAACCCCTCACCTGAGGGGCAGACTCTCCACATGCCCGTTTGCTGAGGAGAACTGAGGCTCAGCGAGGTTCAAGCGGTGCCCCAGGGGTGCCCGGCCAGCAGGACCAGGGCTGGGGTTCCACCTGCCAGCTTGATTCCAGGGTCAGGGCAGGTGGCCTTCACCACGGCCTGCACCAGCCCCTCCCCAGGACCGAACAGAGTGTTCTCTGGCACGTCCTTGTCAGGGGGTCATGGTGTCCACCCTGTAGCTGGAAAAGTTCTCTCCCAGTATTCCCACGGTGCCGAGGCAGGGATCTTTCTCTGCAGAGCAAGGCCTCTCAGATGGCTCGGCCTCCGCCTGCCGGGGCCCTTTGTTACTCAGTTCACCCAGTACCAAGCAGCTGGGCCTGCTGGGACCAGACACTTCCAGCAGCTCACTGTCAAGGCGGGGAGGTGGGGGGCTGAAATGGCTTGAGTACCACCATTCCCCCACAATATGCAGGAGGACCCACAACAAGGCACATACGAGAAAAGAACTGGCTTCAGAGAACCGAACTGTGCTCCCTCCCCGTTCGAAAGGCCAGAAGTACCAAATCAGGGTGCCGCCGCCACCGCAGGCTCTCTGTTGGCCCAGACATCCCTAGGCCTGTGGGGACACTGCTCTAGTTCTGCCTGTCCACACACGTATGGCTGGCTGCCTTCCCTCCAGGTGTGACCCCTCTCCTCTCTTACAAGACACCACACCTATCAGATTAGGACTCACCCTGCGGGCCCGGGTGGCGGGTAGTGGTTACTCGTTGGGCTGCTAACTGCAAGGTCAGCAGTTCGAAAACTCCAGCCGCTCTGCTGGTGAAGAACAGGACTTTCAACTCCGGTAAAGAGTGGCAGTCTCAGAAACCGACAGTGGCAGTTCTACCCTGTCGTCTAAGTTCAGTCTGAGCCAAATCAACACAATGGCACTGAGTCTGGTTTGCGTTGACTGCTTGTGGTCATCTGCAAGCGGCCTGTATGCAAACGAGCTCACCACAGGTTAGGGCTTAAACATATCCTTTGGGGAACACAATCAAACCCATGACAGACTTGTGACGGGATGGTTCTCGGGGGTGAAACTCCCCTCCAGCTGGCCCCTCAGTCTGCCATGAGCCCTCCACCCAGAGGTAACCAATGGAAGAGTAAGGAGCAGGAAGGGAGAGCCAGGGTGAGGGGCCTCCTGGGGCCAGCCTGTTGGTGCTCACCCTGGTAACCTCTCCCCTCAAGGAGATCTGGCAAAGGGGCAGGTGTTTGTGTGATTACATCCCTTATACGGCGGTAACACCTGCCTTGCGCACACATGTCCCTGCAGGCTTTGGTGAAGCCAGTGTCCATGTGGCGAGGAGCTTCCCAGCCAGTGAACAGGGGCCCCTGCGGTGTGGGCTGCAGTCCTCCCTACACCAATCCTCCTGCTAAGTCCTCCCTACACCATGTCCAGGATACCCCCAACCCCCATCCGGGGCACGCTGGGAGGCAGGCGGTGAGGGATCAGGGCTGGGGCTGGGGCTGGAGGGTCTCTCTGCTACCGGGCCTCTATGTCTGCCTGGTGGCTGCCAGGGACTTGAGGTGGGAGGGCAGTCTGGGAGGGCCAGCCCGCAGGGACTCTGAGCTTCCCCTGGGGCAGAGGGCAGAGGTGCTATGAAGCCACAGCTTACAAGTGGAGATTCATCCTCTCTGCACTTGCAGTGGTGGGGAGGGTTAGGGTTAGGCTTGGGTGGGAGGGCAGGGCTGATGGAGGTTTCTCACAATCCAAGAAGCTCCCCTTGGGAAGACCGCTCCAAGACCCGTGCCCGTGTCTCCTCTGTGACAGAAGCAGCCAACGTGAGGGCCAGGGTGTAAAAAAGAGCTTTCCAGAAAGTGAGGGTGGCTGGCATGGCCAGAAAGCTAGCAGGCCAGTCCTCCTCCTTTAATGGGAACTTCCTGTGGTCTTGGTGGGATGCTGGGATGGATGGACAGCAGCGTCCCTCCATAGAACACCTGAGAAACCAAACAGCGACCTTTGGATGGCCCGGAATATGTACTGGTTCGTGAGAGCAATGTGACGTTTTGGGGAGGGAAAGGGAATTCCAATCCAATGAATAAAAAACGAGATGGTCAAGTGTTTCAAATTCTCTACCATTGGCTAAACTAATGACCTGTCAATGTGCAGTGGGTACGTATTGGGCTGCTGACCTCAAGGTCGGCAGTTCAAAACCACTTGGTCAGCTCCACCCGGGAAGAGGCTTATGAAGACTCGCTGGCTCGGAGACTCACAGGGGCAGTCCTACCCTGCCCTACAGGGTAGGGCACCAAGTCAGCATTGACTTGGCAATGGTGGAAGTGATGCCCAAGGGGGATGATTGATAATGTTCTCTTACATAAAATGGCAAGGATGTCTCTAAGGTGAACCAGAGACATATAGAAACCATAGATGCATTAGTGGATTTGGGGGTTCCACTTTAATTCTAGCCATCCCCGTTTAAGAACAGTTACTTATGGCATGACCCTGCTTGATATTCGATCTCATGAAAAGGTCACTGAAGATATGGGTGCTGTCGCAAAGTATAGTGAAGAAACTAGATGGTGCCTCGCTATCAGAAAGAATAGTGTCTGGGGTCTTAAGGCCTGTTTTCAAACAAGCAGCCACCCAAGGGAAGGTGTCAACCAAGTCTACATGGAAGCACACCTGCCCGTGTAATCCAAGGATTAGAAGTAATATAATCCAAATCTAAAGGAGGGAATGGTATCAGAGCTTGAATTGTGGACTTAGTTTGTAGAAGGCTATGGATGACAGTGGAAGCCCCAAATCCATTTATAGTATCCACACACCTGGATTAAGAACCCTGGCAATTCCCCTGTCATAGTTGAAGCACGTGAATAGCCTTGCTATCAGTAGATTATGGCAGACATAGCTAAGTCAAAGTGTACTATCACTTGTTCTCCCTTTGGCCCCACTTTAAGACTGGTCTTTTTAAGAGGAAATATGTGTGGATTAAGCCCCTGGTGAATTCCCTCTGACCACACACCAAGGGTGTGAACAGCCTTGCTAACGTGCAGAATGCATTGCAAAATGGGTTGTTGCAAATATAGTTAAAATTTAGCACCTTATCATTGGATCTTTATGATACATGTAAATTTGTTCTAGTTAATATTTTCTGCTTTGCTTTCAATTGAAGCTTTTATGCTTTATCATTTTTGTTCGCTTTTTAATGTTTTTCTGTATATGAAATCCAAGATAGGTGAATCCATAGTGCCAGTAAGAGGACTAATGGTTCCCTGAGGGTCTAACAGGGAGGTTAGATGGAAATGGGGAGCTAATAACAATGAATGCAAGAATGAAGAAAATGTTCTAAAACTGATGGTGATGATGATACAACTCTTCTTGATGCAATTGTATGATGTGTGAATTATGTGCCAATAAAACTGTTTGGGGAGAAATTAATGAAGTGGAGGGAGCATATGGTTGGCCCTCAGAAGGCTGCTTTACATGGAGGAGTAACTGCCCACAGGTGGTACTCAATGACTCATCAGTTGTAGAAGATGGAACACTGAATTAGTCAAGAGACCACCACCATAAAGAGACCACCTTGGATCAGATTCTGCACAGAGCTAGGTGCTCCACTGCATCACTGGATACAGCCCTCCACTGCCTTTGTTCTGGAAAAGGAAGCCCCCACCACCACCACTCCCTGAGGCCAGCTGGACCTCAGCCGAGCACAGGCATCCAGGGAAGGCTCGATTCTCTCTGATCTCAACAGAAAGGAAAGAACTGGAAGGCGGGTGGGCAGGGGATGGGCTCTGTCACTTCTCACCATTGGGGGTGGGAGAGGGAAACGGGAAAGTTGTGATGGTGTAGTGGGTTATACATTGGCTGCTAACCTAAAGGCCAGCATTCAAAACCACCAGCCTCTCCACGGGAGAAAGATGAGGCTTTCTACTCCCATCAAGGGTTACAGACTCGGAAATCCCCAGGGGCAGTTCTACCCTGTCTTCCAGGGTCGTGATGAGTCGGGATCAACTCCACAGCGGAGTTTGGTGTTTTGTTTGCCAAGAGGGTGGGGGTAAAAACAATGACACATGACACACAATTAATAATTTATTAATTTTTTTTATTGAAATTGTTGAATACTTTCATTACAGTAAAACTGATTGGGAAAAAAAGTGAAGAAAGAAATAACTTTTTAAAAATACACTCATGTTTAAATTTAAAAAAAAAAAAAAAAGCCAGCCATAGCCCTGGGTGCAAACCAGGGTATTCTGGAAGGCGGTTTGCCTCTAGATATATGAATACTATGAGTTTATATACAGTTCTATAATGCGAACTCCCTTCCCATAAAAATCCCCCGGTTAAACATGAATAAAGGAACCAGCAGCCGCCAGGGGGGAGGTCGCCGAAGCTTCCCACCGATCCTAGCCACACTCTGGGTCCCACCGTGGCCTCCCAGCAAATATAGAGCCAGGGCCACGTGGGGGTGAGGTGAGGTCCACCCTCTCCCATGCCATCTCCCTAAATCACACTGTGCAAATTAAGGCTTGGATAGGTCTGATGGTTGATCAACACTTTCTTTGTCTTAAAAAATAAAATCTAGCACAGTCATGATGGTACCATGGGAACCTGAACCCCCAATCTGGAAGAAGCTAGCGTGTCGGTCTGACAGCAACTCTGTGCCCACGCACAGACCCGCCGCTGGGTGGGTGGTGGACAAAACACTGACTCGTGGGCTCTGTCCGCCGAGCACTGAGGCAATCATGCAAAAAAGCGGCCGCCGGTGACGGCAGAGGCAGAGGAAAGGTGAGCTGCCAAAGGCCAGGCACTCGGGTCTTTGGGCACGTGTGTGCACGCGTGTGCACTCGGGGGCTCCCCCTTCGGAACAGAAAGCGGGAAGAAAAAGAGACGAGAGTATAGAGTATTCTAACGTAGGGACTAAACCGTTGACCAGATCCCAGACCCCGTGTTCGGCTTTCCAGGGCACTAAGCACCCCCATCTAGTGAAGGAGCCAGTGGGTGACCCACTGGCACGAAGGAGAAGAGACACTGCTCCTGCCTGGTGGATGGGTGTTCCTTGATCGCAAACCTGAGTAATTGTCAGAATCAATAAATAGGGGGAGAGATGTAAGATGCTAACTAGAATGGTCAGAGCCCGTTAAGGACTAGAGCAGCAAGGGCCTCCTGTTCAAACAGCCCTGTTTTTGAGATGCAGCCACTGGCCCCAGAGGCCAGCGCGGCCGCGCCCGTGGGCAGCGGCCTGGGGCAGGTGCCCCGGGCTGAGGTCCCCCTGTAGACAATCTGAGCAAAGCTGCGTTCCAATGACCGTGAGCACCCGCTGTGAGCCGGGCCTCAGGACCCTCTCCCCCATCACAAAAACTCTTCCCTTTTGAAATCGTTTTTGTTAAAGGCAAAACTGAGAAAAAAGCTTCGTGGCGGAAAAGTCTTATTTGGTTGGAGGTACTGTGCCAAGGCGCCGAGCGAGGCGGCGTTTTCTCTCGGAGGCACCGGGGCTTCAGACACGGAGGAGGTCCTCGTCGCTGTCGTCGTGGAAGGCCACGTGGCGGACTGGGTTTCCGGGCCGGGCGTGCATCTTCCTGGACATCTCCACAGGAAGGGGGCCCATCGAGTTGCCGGCCGGGGCCTGGACTGCCTTCTTTGGGGGGCTCCTGGTCTGAAGGGAGCTCTCGGCCATGGGCCCGTGGGTGGAGTGCACCTTCACCTCTGGGATGGTCAGCACCTCGTCCTCGCTGTCCTGGTCGTCCGTGCGCAGGGAGGAGAGGGCATCCGCCGTCACCGCGGTCACCGCTGTGGGGGTGAGGTGCCCGTTCTCCTGCTCATCCTTCTCGGGTCTGGGGACCGGGATCTGGATCTCCTCCATGAGCCATTCAGTCTCATTTTCTTCAGCTTCCTCCTCCTTATTGACCTGCGGGATCAACCGCAGATCCCTCATGAGACCTCCTCGTCCCACCACCCACCCGTGTCTGACGCCTCCCCCACTGCACCAAGAGCCCCAACAGGGAGGGGAGGCTGGCGTTGGTAACCCCTCCTCAAACCCAGTACCGCTGAGACCCAAAAGGCACAAGACAGATGCACGCAGAGGCAAGCACAAGGCATCCGTGTGAAGGTAAACTGTGGGTGTCAACTGGGCTGGGCTGGGTTCCCAGTGGTCTGGCCAAACACTAGACTAGATGCTGCTCCACAAAGCCATGTAACACCATGACCTTCCAGAATGCAGTCCAATGTGATAGAATGCCATCACCTTCCAGACTGCAATCGAACGTCAGGTCACCATCTTCCATAATAAAATGTAATGTTCTGTAACATCATGACCTTCCATATCACAATCTAATACAACCAATCAGTTGAAAGGGAAGTGCCCCAGGATGGGATCTGATGTTTGGGCGGAAGCTGTGCCCTCTATGCTCTTCTTCTTACTTGGCCTATGGATCTGGGCACCCAGGTCTGCCCGGTCTCCTGTCACTGCACACTCTGAGCTTGCCACACCCAACAGCTACTCCCATGGCCCCCCAATTTGCCTACTGACAAACAGATGTGGGGCTTGCCAGCTGTGACAACTGCGTGGACCAAACCGTCAACCCATCAACACACACGCCACTGTTTCTGTGTGTGTGTGTGTTTCTGTTTCTCTAGCAAACCCAATCCTAAACTGCCCCGGTAGGAAGGTTTGCAAGTGACTGAGCAGCGAGTCTCCTGGGCCTCGGTTGATCTGGGTGCCTGCCCAAGCCGGACAGTGCAGGGAATCATGGGAGATAAGAGAAGCCACAGAAGGGATGTGTACACAAAGGGCTGACTGATGTGGCCTTTTACAAAAGCAGAGGGACCCAACAGGCACCAAGGTTTCCCCAGGGAATCGGCTGCACGCACGAGGAGGAAGCTCAAAGGCAAAATGAAACGTGTGCTTGGTCCGGGTGGCAGTGGTGCTGCCTTTGACGTCCCCGGGACCCCAACAGTGCTTGTATAATTGTCAAGGATGCACAGCAATGACAACAAGAAACCCCCACCCCGACCTCGGGGAAGGGGCAGGGGCCGGGCAGAAACACACTAGAAACCCTCAACAGAAAAGTACCTTCGAGTATTTGTAAGACACGTTGGAACTTCTTCGGCAACAGTTGGTGAGCTTCGTCATCATCGCTGCCCTGGAAAGGAGGAGGCCACAGTTACTGGATGGTAGCGAGCCCAGGAGGCAGGTGTCCGATGGGCGTTTGCCTGAACCTTTGGACTGCGGCTCCTGCTCTTGGACTGGGATGCGCCCGGGATTCCATTGCAAGGGCCCTGAGTAGCTGCACGCCCAGCCCACGTGGCCCAGCTGCCTCTCCTCACCTCTGCTCCTTCTTGTACAATAGCAGGCCCAGCAGACAGCCGACCAGGGCCACCAGCAGCAGGCTCAGCACGATGCCCAGAGCCTTGCTCCGCCCCGAGAGGCCCTGCTGCTTGTTCTCATCAGCGCTCTCGTCATCGAGGTTCATCCTGGAAGAAAACCCAGGGAAGTCACGTCTGCCTGCCTCACACCTGTCTGCCTGCCTCACACCTGTCTGCCTGCCTCACGCGCTCAGGCACACGCTCTGGGAGCCCGCTGCTGCCAGGCAAAGAGCACGTCGGTCAGTCCTATCTCCCGAGACGCCTCTCAGTGGGTTTGGACCTCCGACCTTGCAGCTGGTGGTGGAGTGCTTAACTGCTTGTGCCACCAGGGACTCTGGTCAACCCTAAGCACTCCCACCTCAGAGAGCAAAACCCTCACGTCTACTAACGCCTCCCTGACTCCTGCTGCAGCCGATAAGAGCCGCGCTTTATGACGCAGGAGCGGCCTAGGAAGACCCTGGGCCTGTGTGTGTACACGGGGAGTGGGGGGTTTCAGCGGGCAGGGCAGTGGCACAGCCTTGTGAAAGCGCCATCTGAGGAGCAACCCCCTCCCCGAGTTCAGCTCCTCTCTGACTCCCCCCAAACCCTGAGTGAAGACAGAGGCAGATCCAGAGCCTCCCCGGGCTCACGGGGAGGCATCATCAACCGTCTGAGAAGCTGGCTGAGGGGGCTCAGCCTCCCTGCTGCTCATGGCGACCCATCACGGTCCATTCCAGTCTGAGGGCATTTTAAACACTCCTTGTCCAGCCCCTCCCGTCAAAGATGGCTACTGACCGTGGGAGGCACCAGCTGCCACCGCCCTGGCCCCCCGCTCCACTCACCCGAGTGGACACACGGCTGAGGTGTACCAGGAGAAGAGGTACTGGCAGTCGGCGGTCTCGTGGCTGAACTCGGGCACCCCGTCCTCCACGGAGGGGTCGCAGTGGAAGAAGATGGTGGAGGACACAGACTTGGCCTTGTCTTTGCCGCACGTGGAGGGCGAGGTAAACACGACATCCAGGTCGCCATCTGCCAAAAGGAAGGTGCCAGCGTGACCTTTCTGCCTGGCTGGTCCGTGGGAGGGCAGAGGAGATGAGGTGTGTCCCATCACCTATGTCTTTACTGCAATTAAAAAGAATCCTGACCAGAAGAGGTGGGCCCATCCGACCACTCACAATGTGCCGTCTGGACGCATCAGACATTGGGTCTGTGGACAGGCAGGGGCCTCCCCTGTGGCCCAGGCCACTGCCTTCTCACACACTGTTTCCAAGCACTCTGCAGTGTGCCTAGGTGGACCCAGCCCCACCCTAACGCGTGGGCCCTGGGCCTCAGCTGGCCACACCAGCACAAACCCTGGGTGGGGGGAAGTGTGCGTTCTGAGGTTCACAGAGCCATCACCCAGGGAACTGAGAACGACCACTCGGGCACACATGCACACACACAGGCAGGCTTATGTAACTTCCCTGGACACCCAGGCACAGAACACCCCCCCATGGGCGCCGTGCCTAAGTGGCACCTCAATTCAGTGCTGGGGCACTGCGCGCCCTCCTAGTCCCTTTGACAAGGTTGTTCTTGGCCCGCTTGTCTAGCCGAGGTCCAATTCACACCCTGTGAACTGCCCAGGTCGCCCAAATACTGTGGGAGCCCAAGACTGTGAAGTAAGTGTCCGTCAAGAGGGGTCCTGTTTCCATACAGCCCTGGGATGTCAAGACCAGGGACCTCGCCCCTGGAAACAGCAGCCCCTGGGCGGGCTGGGTAGAGTGCTCCCAGGAAACAACTACCTTGAATATAGTACTTGGCTTTGTCCGAGATCCCCACTTTCCTGCTGAACTGCTGGTCGTTGGGCTTCAGCTGGCATATGATGGCCCCGGAACAGGAGGGGATGGTGGGGTTGGTGAGGGTCGAGAGCTGGATCTCGTACAGGTACTTGTCCCCACTGGGCCTTATGTCCCCAGAGGCGCTGAAGCGTCTGGGAAGAGAGAGACGATCTCGTAACTGGGCACCAGTCACCCTTCAAGAGCATGTCATCTGTGACCCCAACCCCACGGCCTTAGGCGGGGCCTCTCCTGAGTCCACACGACTTACCGTCCCAATGACCTGACCTGATCCCACTTCAGCTCTCTGCATCAACATCGTCCTCCGAGGCCTATGGCCGGCACCGTTACCCCCAGGCCCACCCAGCAACCGAGAGCAAACCAAAACTCCCTGGCCTGGAGCCGATTCTGACTCCTGGTGACCCTACGGGACAGGTAGAACTGTGGGTTTCAGAGGCTGTAACTCTTTATGGAAGTAGAAATCCTCAAATTTCTCCTGCGGAGCGGCTAGTGCCTTCCAACTGCTGGCCTGCCGGCGAGCAGCCCAGTGGGCAACCACTCTACCGCCAAGCCTCCCTCCATCCGTGGTGTCAAAACTCATCGCTCAGTGGTGTTTTCTCTCCGGGTGAGCAACACACAGCAACGACTTCTCCAGTGGGGGCAGAGGGCCCAGCCACCCCGAGGCATTCCCCGCAGGAGGGAAATCCGGACTCACTTGAAATAGATGTTCCCCAGGCTGAAGCTTTGGCCATTGTTGGGATTGGTGAAGGTCCCGTTCACCATCTCTACCTCCTGGGGCTTCACTGCGCAAGCGGCCCGCGTGTCCCAGCGGAAGTAGTGGGTGCAGCTGTCGATATCGAACCTGGAGGACAGCAGGTGCAGCCCAGCCGTTACTGGCTCAGCGGCCATGCACAGAGGAGCGCAGGACCCGGGCACCAGGCCCCAAGAGCAGTGGGCTTGCTTTCTATGTAGGCACACCCATGCCCGGGTCGTCCTGAAACTGACATCCCAACCCCCAACCCCCAGCAACACTACGTCCACCAGTTAGTGCCCCTCGGGCAGCGGGTCACTCCAAAGCGTGTCAAGGTCAGAACACTGCGCCCCACAGGGCCTCCACAGGCTGGCCTTGCTTCCTGCCTTCCATCTAAGCTCAAAAGTGCACTGAGGGGAACCCTGGGCAGTAGGTATCCTAACCTCCGCCGACAGACGTGTGGTGGCTGCTCGTGCGGTGCCAGCCAGGAATAGAGGCCGGATCTCCCACTTGGCCGCCACTGCCCACACCTCTCCCCCCCACCCCCCGCCCCAGGAGCTGGGGACCTGCTTCCCAGCCTACTGCCACGCAGGCTCACGTGACACACTGCTCCAAACTGACTCCGCTGCCATCGGGTCAGTTCCCACCTACGGCGACCTCGCAGGACAGAGTAGAACGTGCGTTTCCGAGCCTGTATCTCTTTACCTGGGCAGAGGGCCTCTGGCTCCTGATGAGCAGCTAGTGCATTTTTGAACTGCTGACCCCGTGGTCAGCGGCCCAGCTGGTGACCCAGTACCCAGACCCAGCACTCCTTTTCCAAAGTGAGAAGCCCTCGCTCCTGGGGATGCTGGTTCACAGGCACCCGGGGCTTGGCGGTGGAGGCAACCCTTTGCACACTCGGCCCAGCGGCTCGGTTAGACACCAGCTCACGCACTCCCTCTGTTGGCCGAACTCCCCCTAGCACCTGGTTCAGGGTGGCCAGAGAATCCTGACCAAATCCGGGGGCCACTCAGGTGGGCCAGGGAGGCAGTGTAGATGGTGCACCTCAGGGCCACCAACCGACACACACACATCTTGAAGCTACGGCTGTCCAGCTGGCTCACACGGGCTCGGCGGAGGTCAGAAGCAAGCTTCTGAAGGCCGGCAGCACCAGGAAGTGGCATCCCGGTGCAGGCGTCCCTCACTTGCCGGCATTCCACTTTGCTGGGTTTCGTAGTTGTTGTTTTTTTAACCAACTGAAGGGTTCGAGACCGTGGATCAAGTCTATCAGGCCTGTTTCTCCAACAACGTGGCTACTCATTCTGATCTCTCTGCACATTTTGGTTATTCCCGCCATACTGCGAACTTTTCATATTGCTCTTGCGTGCTGACAAACCACCCCTCAAAACTCCATGCTGTCCCTCATGGTGGCTCTGATATGGTTGCAGAGACTATAAACCTTAACGGGAGCAGACAGCCTCCTCTGGCTCCCTTGGAGTGTGGCCTCTGGGGAAGAGCCCAGTGCCTAGCCCACAGTGCCACCAGGGCTCCTTGGGTGAACTCGAAATGCACTGAGAAACCGCACAATCGCCCTGAGTCGTGGGGCTGTGCACTGTTGCTGTGGGCTGGCCCTGAGAAGCTCCCAGGCTGGCCTATACTCTAAGGGCCCTGCGCCCTCAGGCCCCACACACAGCCAGACCCCGCTGGGGAACACGCACTCCCCGGGCACGGCTGAGCCCTGCCGGGGCCACGCCCCCCCCCCCCCCCCCCCCCACCTGTTGAGCTCGGGCTTCCCGGCCGTCTTGGAGCACGTCATCTGGATCACAGCGGACGCCGTCCGGTTTTCACCACACTGGTGACCCTTTGAGTAGGTCACGATCACCTTGTCATCTGGAAAACACACACACACACACACACACACACACACACACACACACGGCCGGGCGTTATTTCTAGCACATCTTAAAGATACTTTAGGGCCGTACACCCAAGATCCTTTTCAGTGAGAGCAAACGTTTGTTTTAAGACTTCTAATAGATCCCCTTCATTGGGACCCCATAGGATGGGGTAGAACTGCCCTGGGGTGGGGGGTGGGGTGTCTGAGACTGGAACACTGTACACCGGTGGAGGGCACTGAGATTGGTTTTGTTTTGCAGACCCACTTCGCCCGGCAGCCCACAAGCGCAGCGAGCCCCAGGCCACCTATGCTGTGGTCCATGAGGGTGTCGCAGGGGCTGGGTTCTGGCTAGTCTCGTGACTTTGGGCTGTTGAATTCCTGAGCCTCTACTCTCTCATCTGAAAAGGGGAACTCCCCTGTCACAGTGTGGGGATTCCAGACACACTGTTAGGAGCCTCGTCCTTGGCGGCCCCAGAGTGGGCTATCTCAGCCACCCCCACCCCCACCACAGCACACAAGGACTGGCCATCTGCTTCCATAACGAACCCAATCAAGAAGATCCCCTGGGGGCCGTTCTACTCTGCTACCTATGCTGGGGCACCGCGGCAGCCAGCAGGACTTGGAGGAGAAGAAAGGCTGGCCTAACGTCCACATCACTGAGGTTACAGGGGGCAGGGCCACCCTCAACTGGCCCCATCCCAACCCCCTCTTGAGCAGTCATCAGTGAGACTCTCCAAAGGGAGGGTGAACCTCAAGCTGGCGGTGTAGGGCAGTCCCCCAACCCCCCACCCCATGGGGCCCCTTAGTAGAAGCTGGTCTTGCTGCCTCTGAGGGGTCAGCGAGGTCTCCTGAGAAGCCCTTCTTGTCTCCACTCCTTAGCAAGAGGGAAAGCCACTCCACTGAGCTGCCCGATGCTTCAGCCGGATGACCCCACACTCAGGAACAGCCAGAGGAGGAGACCTTCTGAGGAGCTCTCCACGTGCTGGCTCCCCACCCTGGGTACAGCTTCTCCCCAGCACTGCCGAACCCCTACAACACAGACTGGGGCCTGCAGTCCCAGCTGGTGGGCAGCGGTGCTTTGCAGAATAGTCCGGGAGTGGCGGTCCTGGATGGACCACTGGAGGTGGCCGATGCCCCGGCGCGCTGAGGACACCCTTGTCACCCTGCCGGCCCCCAGGCCTTACCCACAACATCCAGCTTCTGTGTGTGCACCAGCCCCAGGGTCTCGACCTGCCCGGAGGCGGTCTTCCTGCAGACGCTGGCTCTGTCGGAGCAGGCCGGGGGGCCTTTGTTCAAGTGCTGGCACAGGTTGATGTAGTACCTGGAACAGACGACCCGAGGGGACGGGGCGTCAACTCTGGGCGGGGAGCGAGGAACCGGGGCAGTTCTGTGCACACTGTGGCCTGGCGTGGCGGGCGGGCGGGGGTGAAGGGACTCACGTGGTGCCTTCGTGCACGAACTGCCAGGACGATGTGAGAGAGGAGAGCAGCCGCAGGTCGTAGGTTTTGTGGCTGTGGACAAACTTGCACTCCATCTTTCTCGGAGGGCAGACCACTTTGGTTTTCCACTCGAAGGTGACCTCGCACCCGCGCACCTCGCTGGAGACCTGGGGCCACCCGATGTCGGCTTCTTCATCGCACTTGAACACGATCTCCGATGTCCGGTGGCTGTTAGCTGGGGGGAGGGAGCCGGCAAAGAAACGCAGTCAGAGCCTGCTTTGTGTGTGGGGGGGAGGGTATTTGCTCTGAGCTTGGCTTTTTCTGTTGGATTCGCGGTGGTCAAATGTACACTATGAGTTATCACGAAACAGCTGCTGTTCCAACCAGTCTGAAATGGCCGACTCAGCAACTCCCACTGACCAGGGGAGCAAGCGCCCCCACTACCCACTCTCCCCAGAACCGCTTTTCACTGGAAACACAAAGGCTGTGCCTCTGGATTCAGCAGCACGCGCTCCTCGAAGCCCTGGGAACCTCTCTCTACTTCCTTTCTTAAGTAGACTCCGTGTCAGTGGACAGACACGGGTCTTCTCCTTGGGGTCTGACTTCCTTCACCCAGCATGACAGTCCCCTGCATTGTCCCCTTTACTCGGCTCGCTTCTCCTTGCAGCAGCCCACCGAGTGGGCATCCATCTGCCAGCGGTGGGTGGGTACCTGGGCTCCTTGAGCAGAGCTGCCCAGGGCAGGGTGCAGGCCGTCTGGCTTAGTGCCTGCTGCCCAGTCTGTGGGGCCCGCCTCTCGGCGTGGACTTGCTGGGCCATGTGGCAAAGTCGATGTTTGACTTTCAGAAGAGCCACCTGACTACTTTCCGCAGCAGCTGCCCTGCTACCTTTGCCCCAGCAACTCAACAGCACACTTGTCTCTGAGCACCTGTCGCTCCTGAGCCACATTGAGCATCCCGCCCTGGCGACCCGTGTGACCCCGCCCCACTCTATCGGCCCTGCCATATTTGTCCACGTCTGTGGCCCTGGCCCATCCAGCACTGAGTGGACCACGTGCCCCCGCGTAAGATGCCCATAGCTGAATGCAGCTCCTCCAGACGGGTGGCCCGTGTTGTCAGGTGAATGCACACATGGGAACACAAAGCAAACGCAGAAACAACAAATGGCCAGTCATTACTGAAAACTGTGAGGCCTTCCAATGGACCGGCACAAACACTGCCATAGAAGCCTCAGAACAGCCCCAGTGAACCAAGGGTCATGGCCCTTCGGCACAGCCCGCCAGGGTCTATGGGCCTTGAACAGGATTATGCTACCTGTGCCCATCCCGGGTCCCTCCCCTCGAGGACTCGTGCTGTCAGTGGCCCACACATGGGCACAGTTCTTTCGAGACACCAGGTTCTCAGCCCAGGAGGCAGGTCTAGCTACAGTCCCACCCAGGGCCTGTGTCCTCACAGGGGGCCAAGGACACGAGCCCACCACTCTTGGAGAATGTCCACTGGCCACCCTGCAGGCCAGACAGCGGCCATTTCGCTGAGCCCCTCTCAGGCAGCGATGTAAGAAGCCAGGCTAAGAGCCCGGAGGAGAAAGTGGAGTCAGCTGGCGGGTGACTGGAGTCCACAGACAGGAAGCATAGTGGGCAGAGGGACTCCCTGCAGGGTGGCGCGTCACGGCCCCCCGCCGGGCGGGAGAGCCCCTCTGCGCTCGTACTCACAGTGCCTGCAGAACCCCCACTCGTGGTCCCGGTCATAGTTGTCGGTGGTGGCACACCAGGGCCTCGGCCTCACCTCCACGGCACACTCCTCGTAGCTCTTCCCGTTGAAGATGAAGGGGAAGATACACGGCTTGCCATCTTCCGTTTCTGGGTGGACAGAGAAGCAAGCGCTCAGTGGCCCAGACCACGCACTCTTGGGCGAGAGCGCGCCAGGAGAGCCCCCAGGAGGCAGCCCCTCCCACGGCACCACCTGAGAGCAGTGCGCCCTGGGCCCGAGGAACTGTTCTCCTACACTGGTTCACGGTCCAGGCCCAAAGCCTGGACCTGCATCCCCCAAGGAGGCACCGAGGCTGCCTTACCTGGAGGGCAGGTGTCCCCATTCACGTAGCTCAGGATGACGGCCTCGTCCTGGTGCCGATAGTCCAGCCGCATGGAGGCCAGCCGCCCGAAGGAGGCGCCCTTGCTGGCGGAGAGCAGGCAGACACCCCCGTCCTTGCAGCCGCCCTGGTCCAGGCCCGCGGCTGCGGTGCACACACCCACGCTGTACACGTGGGACTTGTGTGTTACCTAGAGAGGGGGGCCATTGGACAGCGTGTCACATTCGGGTGTCGGGCCGGAGGCCCTGAGGAAGAAAGCCTCACTGGGCAGGCACTGCCCGTGGGACAGACGGCGGGCAGCCCCACCTTGAAGGTGCTGGTGGACAGGCTGGACAGGTTAAAGCTGTAGTAGAGCTGCTCGTCTGTCAGCGAGCAGCCCTCCACCTGCACCTCGTCGGGGCACACGAGCGGCGTCTCCCACTCAAACACAAAGTCACACTCGCTGGTCCTCAGCAGCTTGGGGGTGCCCTGCGGGGAAGAGGAGCAGGCACTGAGAGTCAGCCAGAGAGGGGGTAGGAGCAGGAGCAGGGACCCGGGAGGCAGGCGGCCACGTACCATGCTCACGCCTCTCTTACAGTGAAAGGCAATGAGGGAGGTGTAGTTGAAGTGTCTGTCTGCTAAGCAAGGTGTGCTGCTCTCGAAGTTCATGTACACTTCGTTCGCAGAGGGGTTGAAGATTGGCGGGCCCGTGATGCGGCCAATGTCCTGGGCAAAGACACCAGCAGCCACGGTTCACCAGAGCCCAGAGGCCATGCAGTGGAGACTGACCAGATGGCACAGCACCTATGCAGCTGGCTCCCAGCAGCGCCCACCCCGAGGGGCCTGATGCCAGCCACGCCATGGGAAGGCCAGGGCGCCTGCGGGACACGGCTTCAATTCTGTTTTCTGAAGTGCCCCCCTGGGGCAGGTGGAGACCACACCCTGAGCCTCAGCTCCCTTCCTAGGAGGCCCATCTCCCCCTAGCCCCATCGGCTCAGCTCCGTCAGTGGTCTTTATCGCCACGTCCCAGGCTAACAGCTGTCTTGATCAGAGTCAGCCAGCCCCCGGACGACATGCACCTGCACAAGTGCTCAGAGCGCATCCTGGTTCAAAGGCTGCTGGGGGTAGGATGAGGGTGGGGGCTGCCCTGGCACCCGCCCTCCTTCCCCACACACGCCCTCCCACGAGTTTTCCAGTCTTCCTGCCTTGAAAACCTGGCAGGGTCCGCTTCCGCCCCTGCGTGGCCCCCACTTACTATGGGCGCCCCTTCCACAGGGACTTTGCAGACGGCTGCGCCGGCAGGGCACGCCACCCCGTGGATGGGGTTCAGTGGCTGGCAGATGTTGATGTAGAAGTCGGGGTTGGTGTCCGACTCCTCGTCATCCTCGCTCTCATCATAGGCCTCGTAAGCACCCGTGCGGTGGATCAGGGGGGCCAAGTCGATGACGGAGCTGCCGTTCTTCACGGAGCATTCCATCTACGCGGCAGACAAGACTGTTTCAGCCCTCGGCCGTGGAGCTGATTCCAACCCACGGTGCCCTGGGGCTGCAGGGCAGAGCAGAACTGCTCTGTGGGGACCAGGCCTTCCTCCTAGGCACCAGCGGGCCCCCTGACTCCCCATGAGGAACCCCCCTGAGAAATGAAAGGGGTCTCTGGGCAGGCCAAATGGTGACACACTCAGAGCCCAACCAAAGGGTGGGAGGTTCAAATCCACCCACAGGAGGCCCCGAAGAAAGGTCTGGTGGTCTGCTTTGAACAAGTCAGCGTGAGAAACCCAACCCTCACCCCCGGGCACAGCTCCGCCCCAACACGCAGGGAGGGGGTATCCGGGATGAGTTGAGAGGATTTGAAGCAAGCAAGCAGCATTGAGGAGTGGATGGCAATCGATCCCAGATGGTCAGGTACTATCACAGGGGCTTTCTGCCAGCTTCAGGCCAGGGGCCATCAGGGGTGGCAGGGACACTGGAGACCCCGCCTGGCTCCGAGAGCTGGTGGGTTTGCAAGACTCGGTTCCAGCCCGTGCTCGCCCACACTCACCACCTGCTCGCAGGCCAGCGGCGTGTGCCAGGAGAAGAAGAGGGTACAGGTCTGCTTGTCGAGCGAGATGAGCATGGGCTGGTTGGTGGGCCCCACCTCGGGGCGGCACACGAAGCTGATGACGCTCTTGTAACGCAGGCCCAGCTTGGACGGGCAGGAGGAGCCGTCCTCGTAGACCAGCTGCAGCACCTGGTCCGCGTAGGTGAGCCTGCGGCCGGCCCGGCCCACACTGATCCTGGTCTGTCCGAAGCAGGCAGCTGGAGCACAGGGACAGAGCGGTCAGGAACACAGCGGCACAGTCACTCCATCTCCCTGGCCAGTGCGCCCACAGGACCCGGTGTTCACACTCGCTGCCAGACGCGCCCTTGGAGGGCAGGCCTGGCTCTGGGGATGGACTGTGACACCCCCACTGCTTTAGCTCCCGGTCACCCTCAGCCACTTGGGCGGAGGGACGGCAGAGGAAAGGCACTGTGTCTCTAGACCCCTCAACCCTGCAGCCGCCAGCCACCAGCAGCGGCGCCCTCACCCACGCCAGGAGCACAGTTCTCGTTCTCGCCGCAGACACTGAGGTAGACAAGCCCCTTCTCGCTGTAGGCCGCCGTGTAACCAACTCTGCTGTTTAGAGAGGTCAGGTCGAACAGGTGGCCTGTGGGGGACAGGGGTGGGGGGACACGGTGACTCCAGAAGGCCAGGCACTACCGCGCTCACCTGTAAACTCCATCCTGCCCACAGAACTCCTGGCTCCTCCACACTAGCCCCCGTCTCTGTCACCGCCCCGGCACCTCACCGTGGCCGGCTCCGGAGTGCCTGAGGCCTCACCTGTGGCCGGGTTGGTGACCTGGCAGTTGTCGTGCACGGTGTTCATCACAGGGCACGCGGCAGGGGTGGGCCAGGCAAAGGTGTACTCGCAGTCCTCCACCGCGCTGATGAACACGGGCCTGGAGGACTAGAGCCGAGATGGGGGGGCTTCTGCGTGACGGCAGACAGACAGCCTGCACGGCGATTCCGGCCTCACCCCATGGCGGAGGAGCCTCCCCACAGAGCTCCAGCCACACCCGGGACAATTCCATATCAGTGTCTTACGGGGTGAGGCACAGGTTTAGGGAAGTAAAGGGTCACCGCGTGTGCCTGAGACACTTGGGGTTGGGGGTGGGGGAGTGGCAGTTGGGGTGAAGCTTAGAAGAGCCCAGAGGCAAAAAGCTTGCTGGGGGTCAGGAAGGGTCACAAGGAAAAGCAGAGGACAGGGGCCAGGCCGCTCTCCCTCTTCACTCATCGGGAAGCCACGTCACTGCCAACGCTTCGCTAAGTGGGGTCTATCACTGGTGTCACTTACCAGCTGGTTTTTGTTGCAGGTTAAACGAATGGTGGTTGACTTTTTCCGAATCTGGTCCGGACACATGTCCCCATCCACGTATGTGAGGACAACTGAGTCGTCCTGCCAACGAGGGCCGTCCCTCACGCGGCCAAGGTTCACCGTCTTGGAGGCATTCAGCATGCAGGCGGCTGCTTCCAGGGGGCACGGCTCTGCAATAGAGGGGCCACGGTGACGCTCACGCTGGGGGTCCCCTCTCAAAACAGCTGCCAGTCGGGGGTCGGGCACACAGGTCATGGACTGGAGAGGCCACTGTCCTGAAAGCGTCACCACAGGAGAGCTGCTGCACCTTTTAGATGAGGCAGGTCACCGGGCCCCGCAGGAGTGCTCACCCATGTCCATGCTGCTGACAGGGACCAGGGGTGGGTCTCAGCATGGAGAGTCCCCGAGGCAACAGTCTAAATTCCTCCTGAGCCCCGCGTGTAATGGAGCCAAAGCCCCCAGGGGAAGCCAAGGTCTTGGTTCAAGAGATGAACCAGAACTCTACCCAAAAGCAACCCATGCTGAGTCCCCCCTCCCAGCAACCTCTGCGCTCCTGGGGAGGGGCCTGGCCAGGAAATGGTTAGGAGACTTGGGACTGAGTCCACCCCACCGACTATGAACTGTGCCCCCACCGAATCTGTAACCCACCCGGCAGGGTAGGGGGCTAGGGGCACCACCCCAACTTCTCAGGAGACACACAAACCGACTGGTTCTGATTAAGGGGTACAATCCGAGGTCGTGAAGGGGGGCTCACTCTTGAGTGAGCACAGAAAACCTGAGCGGCGCCACGGCTGCCCACATGTGCGCACCTCAGTTCTAGCCTCTCCCCAGTCACAGAGCAGGCTGGTGACGTGGCCACCCCCACTCTCTCAGTTAAGTGTGGCGGGTGCACCCAAAATCCCCTGGTCTGCTCCCTTGCTCTAAAGTACCCCTGGCCACCATTATCACACCAACTGCTTCCACTTCCGGGCCCTCATATACCAAGTGCCGGTAAGTCCGGCCTACCCACCACAGCCCTCGGTTTCCCTGGTCCTGGCCCACATCAGGGACCAGTCATCAGGACCCGCCTGCATCTTGGCCAACCCACTTGAGCATGGCAGCGTGGCTTAGCGCTGAGTGAAAACCACCTATACCCAGTAGTCAGTGCAGCTGTGCCAGCGGCAGAGCTGCCTCTCACCAATGCCAGCCTGCGGGGCCAGGGACTTGCAGATGTTGATGAGGTAGTGTTCTGGGGAGCCTGTCCTCGTGACTGCCTCCCAGTTGTCACTGTACTTCGACAGGGACGAGAGGTCGAAGACATTCCCTTGGTCATCCCTGGTGTGCAGAGAGGGCCGTGGTCAGGTTTGGGCACTGGTCTCATTAAGCATCCACGGTGCCAGCTGGTGAGCCAAGCACATCCCGTCCCTGACATTCCGAGACTCGGGTCTTACACGATGGCAGAGCTTTATCTCAGACCCCCTCCCACCTCCCATCAGAGTCAGCAGCGGTACGAATTCAGGAAATCGTTAAGACTTTGTTGAACAAAGTCATGTATCTGCGCGCGTGCACATATCCCGGCCCCTCAAAAATCAAGTGTACGTGGTCTCCACGTTTAGGCCAGCAAGAAGTGGAGCTGCCTACACAGCCGTGGTCCTTGAGACAAGACCCAAGAACGACTCATTTGTCAGGTTCCCAGGAGGGTCTGAGGTGGGCGTGCACACCCGCTGAAAACCTCAGCATTACAACGCAGCACCATCCCCAGTGGGGGGACGTCTGAACCAAATGGGCCAAAGGAAGCTCGAGGAGGCTGATGGCCAGTGTGCTTTCCTCCAACCGCCCCTGCCTCACGTAGAGAGTACCCTCAAGGGAGGAAGCCAGCCTTCTCCTTCTCTGTGTCCTTGAGGGAGGGAGGGCAGGGGAGCCCATGGCCCACCCTGCTCCACGCAAGATTGGCATTCTTGGGGTCAACCCCGATCTCCCACCCTTACCCATTCTCAGTGCAGACTCATCTCAGAACCTCAAGGCTGTGATGGGTCTGGAAACTAAACCAATCAATCCCATGGCTCGTTCCAGTTTTAAGGCACTGAGGCCAAGGGACACTTGCCGAATCTAAGCCCCTGCCACCCAGGCTACTAGCCACCAGTGCAGAGCCGCTGGCACGCGGCACACTCACTTGAAGGAGCACTCGGCCATCTCGTAGGGGGGGCAGGCGTACTCTGTGCGCCACTCGAACAGATAGGAACAGTCCGACGTCTCCTTCAGGAACACCGGCTGCAAGAGCAAGATGACACTGATGCAGCACTCGGGGACCCACACCTTCCACAGGCTCCTGCCGACGCCCAAACACAGGTGGATACCAGCACCCCCTGTCCACTGTGGCCCTAATCACACACCTCAGATGGCGAGGCCACCCAGGTGTCTCTCAAAGGAGGCACACAGACAAAACGTGGTGTGCATGCACATCTGCATGCTGTCGTAGCGAGGTGTGCAGCCCTGAGGCCCGCTGCATGTCCGCCCCTGAAAGGACCTTAAAGATCCAACGTGGCACGAAGTTGCGCACAGAAGGGCCAGTGCTGTATGATGGTACATCTATGTAGCACCTCTGGCAGGCACCTGTCCAGAGGGCAGGCTCCTTAGTGGCCACCAGGGGCTGACGGGAGGAGATGATAGGAGTGATGGCTCATGGGATGCCGAGTTTCCTTGTGGGGTGTGAGCACAGAGGACTGGGGATGGGCAGGGTGGAGCTTGTGGGCAGCGTGGACCTGCTGAACACCTTTGAAGTGGACACTGAGAAATGGGCACAGCAGCCCGAGGGGCTTGCAACATGTGTGGGGGTGAGGGGGGATGTACTCCAAAGAATTCGAGGAAAAACAGAATCAAAAGTGGGTGGAATTTTTCCTCCAATTTTCAGAAGCACGCCCCCCCCCCTACTCCCTTCCCAATGTGTATCTTATCACGGTAAACTTTTCTTTTTAATATGCAAAACACTCGTTAGCCAAAGCTTGGCTTTAGGGATGAAGGCCGTTAAGAGACAGATTGTTCATTAAGGTCTATGTAGGTGGACAGACACGTTCGTCTATTTTCTGTAAATCCTGCCCTTTCTCCTAAAGTCAGGTGGACGTCTTGTAGGACACCTCCGGAGCCCCCGCAGACGTGTAAAGACCTGACCCACTGGGAGGAGTGGCTGCGGCAGCCCGAGCCCACTAACCTTCTGGGTGGTGCGGTCACAGGAGAAGTAGATGGTGGTGGACCGCTGGTACACCTTGTGGCAAGACTCGCCTCCGGTGTAGTTAATCTTTAACATGCCGTTTTCATAGCTCACCTTCTGGGAGACAAGACCTGTTGCGGGAGAAACCGGCGCATGAGGCAGGTTCCGCTCACCATGTGCCCGGGCTGCCAGGTTTATCGGCAGGCAGAGAGGTCGTGCGTGCAGCCTGAGTCAACACTCAGCACAGCACCCGGGCACGGAGACACTCAGCAGCCACCTCAGCAAGAGGAGAGCTCCTCGCCCTCCCACAGGCTCCCAGACCCTCGTGGAAACCTGCCCCCGGGGACTCCATTCTAGGGACCGTCACCCATGCCTGAGTAGTTGCACAATGTCCACGTCAGTCACTACAAGAGACATGCAGACACACTCACAATGTTGGCATTCTCAGGCAGTCCTCTAGTTAAGAAGCTAGACTCAAATCAGAAATTATCATCGAGTCCCTGCTCCACAAGGACACAGCCGCCGTTCCCAGTCCTCCAGGAAGGTGAGCTCGACGGGCGTGCGTGGCACCACCAGCACTGAATTCCCAGCACGTGCAGCAAAAGCCAGAGAGAGACCACGGTTACCTGCCACCTTTTGGAAGCCCTGTGGTCCTGGCTTCTCCTGGCACGAGGAGACCGCCTTGGTCCTGTCTCGAGTGGGGCAGACGCCCGAGGAGAGCTTCCCACAGATGCGCAAGTGGTAGGTGTAGTCGCCCGCTTGCACAGCCGTGTCGTTCACGCCCAGCGGGGACAGGTCATACAGGTTGCCGTGCCTGGGGTCTCTCACCTGGCAGTTGTCCCCTTCCACAACACAGGAAACAGAGTGAGTGCAACTACACACAGTCACGCTGGGGAAGACGTCCCCGTTTCTCATCAGGCAACTATGGCCTTCATTTGTGCTTAGGACAGACTGTCATCTCCACATGGCTTTGTATCATCTCTGTGGCCGCAGCAGAGGAAGGCCTGCTTGACCCCACGCCCCACCAGAACGCACCCCTCCCACCGCTGTCTCCAAGGCACCAAGACAGGTCTCAGGAGGGCTCCTCCGGGGTGAGGCTGGGAAAGCAGTGACCCCCTCACTTAGAAGAGCAGTGGGGTCCTCCACGCGGCCACTGCCACAAGAGCTCTCACATCTACACGAGCACCTGGGGCATCGCATGTGCGATGACCGCTGGCTTACCTTCTGCTCGGACCACAGGGCAGGCCTCCACTGTTCTCCAGAGAAACACGTACTCACAGTCGTCCAGAAGCTGGAATACGGGGGACCCCTGAAACACACACCAAGAGCGTGTTTTCCATTCGGAAGGAATGATGGTGACAAACGATCCCCATGGCCAGCTGCCATAAGCAAGACGCCGCTACTGGGACTGGCTGAGGTGGCCTGACGCAAGGTAAGCCCTGCGCGGTGGACCCCGAGCCCTCCCCTCCTGACCACTGAGCAGGGTGGCTTTGAGCCGAACCCGACTCCCGGGCGGCAGTGGGTTTCATGTGTTCGGATGGTACGTCCCAGTCAACCCCCAAGGATGGCGGACAGAGGCACCCTAAGTGACGGGGCAGACTCAGCGCCTCGCTCTCAGGGGACGGGGAAATGGCCGCTGCGGGCTGAGCACACACCGAGGTCTGGGCACACTCGAAGATGATCCTCGTGGAATAGCGCTGGTTCCCACACTTGTCTCCGTTGACGTACACGATGCTCAGGGTCCCGTTGGCCATGGCCTGAGGGCTCATCTGCACCACCCCCAGGTTCCAGCTGTTGTCATCCGATATTAAGCAAGCACCCATTGAGCTTCCTGTGGATACACAGGGCCGCGGGTCAGGGAGACGGCGCTGGGCGCTCTCGAGCCAGGCCGGGGCTCACAGGAAGACCGGGCGGCACGCACCCTGGCAGCCGGGAATGAAAGGCAGGGGATTGCAGACGCTCAGGTAGAAGCTCCTCCTTTTCCCATCCTCGGAGGTGTCCACAGCAGTCCAGGGCTTCTTGACTTTGCTCAGGCCACTCAGGTCGTACTCGTTTCCAGCAAGGTCTGAGACACAAGGAGATGCTGGCTAGGCCTGCTGGCTCAGTGGCCCAGGTCCAGCGTGTGGCACCCGCTGGGAGGCCAGCAACTCAGCAACCATGATGCCGCCACATGGATGGGGGGGCGGGGGTGAGTCGAGGGGTGACTGCACAAGCAGCCTTCATCCTATTCCCTGCCCCCAGTCGGAGTGCACGCCTCTGTGCTAACGTAGGATACAATCCCCAAACTCAGCTTGAGACCCTGAACTGTGTGCCCTGACTCGCAGACTGCACAGCACTCTGAGAGCGCAGGCCTAGCCCCTTGACCACGTACCAGTGACTTGGCAATCCACCTAGCCCCTTGACCACGCGTACCAGTGACTTGGCAATCCACCTAGCCCCTTGACC